GAAGTTCAGATTCCTCCAGGTGGGTGTTGCTTGGATCTGGCTGCTGTGCTCCACTTCTTTCTGCTGCAGCCCTTAGAGTTGAACCCTTTGTGTCACTCTGTCAAGATGTTCTGCTCCAGAATAAGCTGGGTGGGTCTTGCTTCTAGCCTCTTTGCAGGGAGTTCTGCTGAAGGGTTTTGTGCTGGGCCTGCACTCTGGGTCTATTCAGGATCCTGTGGCCCTCGGTCGTCTCACTCACTCACCGGGCCTGCGCTCTAGGTCTGTTCAGGATCCCACAGCCCGGGTCCTCTCACTCACTCGCAGGGGACATGTAAATCTTTTTAATTAAAAAATCATTTACTTATTTATTTATTTAGTGCAGGATCTCACTATGCAGCTCTGACTCCTAGTGATCCTCCTGTCTCAGCCTCCCCAGTGCTAGGATTACAGGTGCGTGCCTCTACACCCAGTTTGGGTGGTTGGTACGGCATGCCTGGAGCTGGGGCTGGCACCTCATGTGGTACTGGGGATCGAACCCGGGTCGTTGTGGTTGCCAAGCAGGTGCTTAGACCACTGAGCTGTCTCCCCAGCACTCCTAGTTTTGTATTCACTTCATTTTGCTGATCTTTTAGTTGGTGTGCCTGAGGCTTATTCTTGCACATCTCTTCTACTTCTGTTATATTGTTTTTGGCTAATTTTTGTACTGTGTTTTTAGTTGTTGGTATAGACATTACAATGTTTCTCAAGTGTGCTTAATTACTGTTGTACTTTTCACACATAAGAATCTTGTGGTTACATAGTTCTCTCCAACTTCATGACTTTTTTTGGTTAACTGTAGTTATTAAGTGCTGTACCTCAAAACCCCCACCATTGTTATAACTTTTACTTTAAAAAGGAAAACTTTAAAAGCATTTTAAATTTCCTTAAAAGGATAGTACTTTATATTTGCCCAGCTGCTTACCAATGTGAGTGCTCTGCTCCACGTTCAAGAGCGCAGTTTCTCTCTTGCATAATTTCTCCTCAGCCTGCGGAGCTTCCTTTACCATTTCTTGCTGCTCAGGACTGCTGGCCAAGACTTTGCTTAGATTTTTTTTTTTTTTTTTTTTTTGGAACCGCGGGGATTGAACTCAGGCCCTTGCACTTGCCAGGGAAGCGCTTATTCCACTGAGCCACCTCCCCGGCCCTTGCTTGATTTTTCATCTTCCATGTAACGTTGCTTTTGTTGGGTGTGGAATTGGAGTTTGGAAGATTTTCCTTCCCAGTTTTTTTCAGATGTTTTTCTAATGACTTCTGTCTGTTATTTTTTCTTGTACCAGGAATTGAACATAGGACCTTGTACTTGTGGAGCAAGCGCTGTGCTGCTGAGCTATGTCCCTGACTCCATTGACTTCTGATCTCCGTGTTTTCTAGTGAGAACTCCATGGTCACATGAAGCCTTGCTCTTCTTACTTCTAGGACTTGCTCCCATTAGACTTATATAAGCTCTTCTGATATTATTCTACATGTACCTGGGTGCTCTGTTCTTTTTTACTTCTTCTCTATGTTAAGATTGAATAATTTCTGTTGATCTGTACTCTAGTTCGCTGACTCTTGTCTGTCATTTGCATTTTGCTACAGAGGATTTTTCAGATGTTCTATTTTTAGTTTTAAAACTTTGAGTTTATGATTTTTACAACTTCTGATTTAACATTTTGCTTTATGATTTCTACTTTATCTATATGGAAAATTTGCTTATTTAATGGCACTGGGGATTGAACTCAGGACCTTGTGCTTGCCAGGCAGGTACTTATGCCACTGAGCTATCTCCCTGGCCCTGGAAAATTAAATTTTTATTTTTTCCTCTGAGATTTCCATCTTTTCATTAATTCAAGTGTGTTTTTCCTTTTCTCATGGAGAATTAATAGCTGCCTTAATATCTTTGTCTGATAATTCTTATAGCTAGTTAATCATGTAATTATAATCTATTGATTAAGCTTTCCCATTGCACATATTTGATTGTGTTCTAGAAATTACACATGCTATGCTGTATTCCCTCCGGAGCCTATGGAGTTGAAGCTTTGGTCCTAGTTGGGCTCACCTTTTAGCTTTGGCTTGTGATCTCTGGGTCATGTTTTAAATCTCTGATCCATTTCTTGAGCTTAGACTATGCTGACGTTGGTCTGTCTTTCCTGTGTGTGGATCTGAGTCTAGGCTGAGGTTCATCGGGTGTTTCAAGATTCAGCTTGCTTCTCAAAGCCTTTTCTGGGCTACTTCGAGCCTCTCCTGCACGTACATGTTTGAGGGGCTGGGCTGAAACACGTGGGCTCAGATGCTCATGGTAAGAGGACGTCTCTCTGTGGAGCTCTTGCCTCATGGCTTGGCCACCCCAGCCCCCTTTCCATGATTATTCTGGCTGCAGAGATGGTTTGCCTTCTGCTCATGTCTTGACTGTGGTGGCACTCAGTGACAGGTATCTCTTCGGGCAAAGCTAGGAAGGAAAAAAGGTAGGACACTCACTCCTGGGCAGATTGCTTCTCCGTGTTTTAATGCCCTGCTTTGGTTTACCCCTTTACTTATGTCCAGGGTTTTCAGGTGTTTGCTTTTTATATTTAATATTGTTATTCATGAGAAGGATGCATTCTAGGGGTTTAAGTCAATATAATGCAATTGGTGTGTGTCATAGCATTGTACTGGTAGGTATCATTTGGAAGGTAGGGCAGATTTTAATAAGTGGTCATGCAATCATGATTTCTCTTAGCAATCAGTGTCCCTATTATGGCAAAGTAGAGAAAATCATTAACTTCTGTGTAACATAAACAAGGCACCATACTTTCTAGATTTACTGGAGTATTTTTTGGTTACAAGTGATATTTGTATATTCATAACCTAAGATGTTTCTATAGTAATTATGTACCTTTACTATTTAATAATTTATTAGATAAATTCCCTGTGTTCTAATAATGGTAGATGAACACATCAAGCTTTTTTTTAATGGTAAAATAATAGAGTAGCAGTTCTTTTTTTTCTTTTTGTGGCTGAGTTGGCATGTAGTGCCAGGGATCAAACTGTGATTCCTGTGTTTGCCTAAGCTTGCCTAAGCAGGTGATTTAGTCTGCTGAGCTATCTCACTGGCCCCTCATCAAGCTTTTTTAAAAAAATAGTTTATTTATTTATTTTGACAACTCATACAGAATTTTACTTAACAAAGTAATATGAATTTCACAGTATTTGTTGTAATACATGGTATTGTCTTACAACCAGCTATTCATATTACCAGATATTGGAAGAAGAAAAAACTGGAGCAATGTATAAGAAATTAA